CTTGGCGGGCGAATGTTAAGTAATGCAGAGTACTAGTCCCATTGCTAGCAATAAACCCTGTCAGGTTGACCTCCACGTGGTCGCCCTGGAAACCATCGTACTGAATTCCAAGTGTATTCATCACCAGTCATCATCAGTAAACCAATAACGTAAGGATTACTATTTCATTTACAGCCATTAAAAAAACATAACGCGTACAGCTGTTCAAATAATATGTAAAAATTAACATGTACGACTAAAAAAGATACTATTGTTTTTGAATTTTTGCTTCAAGACATTTCTATCCTATAAACAATTTTGGCTATTAAAGTGTAAAATGTAAAGACCGGTAACTTACTATAACTATAGTTTTAAAAGATAATACCTTCATCACTGCTATCAACAAATCCTTTCAACAATTACATCCTTTACAAGGTTACTCTTTCGAGATTCGAAACGCAATCGCGATTCGCACACAGCAGCCTTTCATGAAACCTCTGTAGAATGGATGGCGCCACTGTTGCGTTCCCGCCAAATTGTATTTCTTGTTTTCGATCTATTTAATAATATTTCGTTAGCTAAAATTAATAACTAAATACTAAATAAATCTAAAAATAATTATAATAATAATTTATGCTATAAATTTAATAAATGTCTACTTTCTTAAGAAGTTTTTTTTTTTATTTAAGAAGTATTTTAACAGATATTAGTTTAATCAAATAAACAATTAAATTCATATTTAAATATGTTTGTATACATAAAATAATTAATAAATAGGTACACAATAATTCTTTTAAATTAAAAAAAAATATTACAGAAGTGTTTTGTCTTTTTTTTGTCCTAAATTTTAATTTGAAAGTGAGTGTTAAACACAGCAATAGCTGAAGTAAGAAGTTTGAGTTTTTATAAATAAAAAAATTATTCTTTACCGTAGATTGATCTTTAATAGTACATATAGTTAACAATTTCGATTTCAACCTGTATCAAACATTAGCTGGTCGTATGCCAAGCCGACACCGTGGTTGCGTCCGGCGGAAACCGAACGGTCACAGTTCCCCGGCCGACCTATATTATTATCCTCGCTACTTCCTTTAGACATTTGGAAGTCTTTTCATAGTACATGATAGACCTACTTTATGTAAATCTTAACCTCCTGTTATTTTGTATAGATAACTAAAGTTCAAGCTGACAGTTTCAAATAAAGAATTATTGTTATTCTTTATTTAGAACAAAAACATTTATTGTTAAAGGTTTCGTAAGCACATATTATATTTTAATGTAATAACTACCGGTTTTACTTACGTATACCTAATTAGATCGAGCGCGAGCGCTCGCGTCAGTGACGCTCATGATTAAGGGTCTTAAACTGATCCTGAAACCAGTCGAGCTTTCTCAATGTAATTACATGTAAGTTAAACCGATAGTTATTATATTAAAAACATTGGTTACAAATTTAAAAATGGATGATATCCGCAGAAATATAAAAATACAGCATTCCAAAACAATCCAAGTAAGACTGACAGTTTAGATAGGTACATTAATGAAGATATTTATAATCTATCGCCAGCATCTATAATAATTAAAAAAAAATAAGATTAGAGATTAGAGAGAGAAAATGTGTGTGTATGGATGATAGAATAATAACCAGATATAATATAATAGAATAAAATAACCCCAATCACGTGGATGAAGTCTCGGGTTACAGCCAGTTTAACAACGCTATATATCATACCAACAGCGTATTTGTCAAGAGATAAAGAAATTGTTAGTAATTGAGTCTAACTGTCCTATTGTTAGCTAATTACCTAACTCGACCTCCACGCGGATTAGAAGCATTGTGCTTAATTTTTTCAAATTTTAATCCTTATCAAATTCGTCACGATGGGTCCACCAACTTTCATCTTCTCTTATCAGCTCTCACTGGTGCCCCCGCTAACGTTTTTACTATTCCATTTTTTAATTAATTAAAAAAAAACTTGCATAACAAAAAAATATCATATTCTTTTAAATAACTAAGCCAGAGTTCTACCAATAAAACTAAAAACAAAACTCTTTAAAAGCATTTCTCATAGAAAAAGTCAGTTTTTAAATAATTCTGTAAGAAGTATGCATCGAAAAGCAATAAAAAGTCCTGAGCCTCCATACTAAGACAACGCGTCCACCTGTCATGTCATGCGATACGAAAATCCATTCAGACGTCTGTCTATCTCAGCCTTTCCCAAAGTGGGCGATAACGCCCCCTTGTGGGCGCTGCAGGCCTAAAGGGGGGCGGTAAGAGTCCCAGAAAAAAATGGGGGCGTTGTTTAGAGGCTTGGGGGTGATTTGTTGATCTTGAAGTAATAGTAATTTTACCAGAGGGAGACTTTGTACAAAAGTCGATTGCTTGGGTACCTCTGTCCCATTCGTGTTTCAACCGTGAAGCAGTTGTGTTTGCATGACTGTGTTTCGGTTTGAGGGGTGGGATATGGTGTGAATTTACAGGGTACAGAGGAATAACACCTGAGTCCTCAGGAATGGCAACGCATGGGGGGTATCATGGGCGAAACAGTATACTCTGTTATGTCCATGGTACTGCTCATGTCTACAGGCGACGGTTACCATTTTCACTCAGGTGGGCCGTCAGCTTGTTTGCCATTCTAAGTTGTATAAAAAAAATAGTGGTTTTAAAGTAGGTAAAAAAATGGGGGCGCTAAAAAATAATTTATTCTCAAAGTGGACAGTAGACAAAATAAGTTTGGGAACCCCTGGTCTATCTGAATATGTTGGCATCATGACGTGAATACTTTCTCGTCAAGATATGACAATCAGAAAGACATGGGCGTATTTAAGGTGGGGACAGGTGTGCCATGCTCACAACAGAATTGTATGATGCCCACTTTATACTCGTAATGCGAGCAAAGGTTTCAGTTTTGCACAAAGATATGTCTAAGAGTACATACATACATATACACTTTTCAACCGCCTTCAAAAAGAAGTAAGTTTCTCTTTTTTTCGATCCTTTTTTTATGTATGTTACCTCATAACTCCGTCAGTTGTAAGCCGATTTGGAAAATTCATTTTTTATATGAAAGATTGTACTTACAGATTAGTCACTTGGAAATTTAATCAAAATCGATTTCGTAGTTTCATTTTTAAAACAAAATAACTGATTTTATCACAAATTAAGTCGGTTTGTTTAATGGAAAACAATTTTTAATTATTTTAAGGAGTCGAGCCACACCTGGGAAATTATCTTTAATAAAAAAAAATGCTAAATTATTTTAAAAATAACTGATTGGAGACCCACTGCTTATTTTATGTGTAAACTAACTATAATCCGCTGCTTAATACAATCTTTTATTCAACATTTCACCCTTTTAGGGATGATGTTTCAAAAGCCACATAAATATATAAATTTTTGAAAAAAAAATTTTTGTATATAAAATATATGCCACTTTTCGTTATAATTTTATAACTCAAGAACGGGCTCACCCATCCAAACTAAATGTTTAGGCTTTGTTCGGACTATTTAGTAGATGGTTTATGTGAAGTTTGCACAAAATCGGTCGAGCGGTTCTTCATTTATTACATTTTTTGTAACAAATGATTTCAATAAATGGCGGATCATTTTGTTAATGGGGATTTTTGTGTCAAATTCAAACTTTTTAAGATGGGGATTGTGCTGTCGAATTGAAACTTTTTTCAGTGTTGACAGTACAAGCACGTTGGTATGTCATTCATGCGGTCATTTAAATTTGTAATTTTTTATTATTTCACTTTATACGCAGCGAAGCACGTACCGGGCCGCTAGTATAGTATAAATTAGATAATATAGTGAATTTCTTTAATTAACCATCTTTTTGTTCCATTTCACTGAGTTTGAAGGGCAACTGATAACGATTTCCGTCTAATGAAACGTAGTGGCAAATTAGCAAACAAATGGTGCCACATTCTTCGATGTACGAAAAAGCACACGTTCTCTGTATGTTTATAGTACAGAGAAATAACACCTCAGTCCTCAGGAATGGCAACGCATTGGGGTATCATGAGCGAAACAGTATACTCTGTTATGTCCATGGTACTGCTCATGTCTATAGGCGGCAGCTACCACTTTCCATCATGTGGGCTGTCAGCTTGTTTGCTATTCTAAGTTGCATAAAAAAAACATATTAACGTTTAATGTTCCACCAATAAGAACTAACCTACTTTAGCACGCTCCCTTAACTCGCGCAGTATGGTTATTAAATAATACTGTAAACATCACTGATATATTTAGTAGTAGCCTGCCAAAGATATTAGAAGCGGCTCAGAAATATCTCGAGTCGGGTTAAATACATTTATTATAACTTTGTATGTTGGCACACTAGATTAATAACATTGATTTGGCTTTTGCTGTTATAATGTTATGATTATTTTTATTGAATAAATAAATAAAAAATAAATAAATCTTGCCAATTCTGAACCTATTGTTACGAGTATAACGCACGCACGCATGCACGCACGCACGCACGCACGCACGCACGCACACACACACACACACACACACGCACACACACACACACACACACACACACACACACAAAATATATATATATATATATATATAACACAACAATACAGTACGTTACATTACATTAAATGTAATTGCTTAAATTTTATGACTTTTAAAAGAAGAAAGATCCCAACTTTTTTAAATAAATATAACAATATTACATCTCCATTTCCGAGTTCGAATCTGTACCAATTTTAATTATTATTTTGGACTCTCGTTTTGTCTCTTTTTAATGTTTTTTTTAATACAAAACTTAACGTTAGATACGTTAAGTTCTGTATATCATAAACCAGGGATATGTTTGTTTAAATTGTGTTTATTTGTTTAAAAATTAAATTTTGTAAGATCACTCTTATTTTTTTTGTTCCTATTGAGTTTTTAGTGTTTTCGTCGAATAAAGTCTATTTATGTATCGAATTTAAATAAGAACGTAACACAAAATAAATAATTAACAAAGAATTGTCATTACAATTTTGTATCTGTACATCATTAGACGTGCGAAATGTATTTAATTATAGGCAAACACTGAATATATATTTATTTTGTGTTTTTAGTTTTCATTAGCAGAACAAATCTATAGTTTTAACATAATATTCTTTATATTTTTAACACCCATATAATGGATAATTGTAAATACGAAGATATACGAATACCAGAGATTGTAAAAAGTTCAAATAAACATTCCTGGCGACCGATTTTAAGACAGGTAAATAAATGTATATATTTTAAATTCGTTTATTTAAACTCTATCACACATTTAGGAGTAGCTTACCAGAGGGAGACTTTGTACAAAAGTCGATTGCTTGGGTACCTCTGTCCTATTCGTGTTTCAACCGTGAAGCAATTGTGTTTGCATGGCTGTATTTCGGTTTGAAGGGTGGGATATGGCGTGAATTTACTGGGTACAGAGGAATAACACCTGAGTCCTCAGGAATGGCAACGCATGGGAGGTATCATGGGCGAAACAGTATACTCTGTTATGTCCATGGTACTGCTCATGTCTATAGACGACGGTTACCACTTTCCATCAGGTGGGCCGTCGGCTTGTTTGCCACTCTGTTGTATAAAAAAAAAAAAAAGCTTTTCGTTCACCAATTCGTATGCGTGGATTTTAAAAGTAGGAAAACCAATGATATGTTTTATTTTTTTATGACATATAAAGATTTATTTTTATTTATTCATTAAAAATAATTGAAAGATTATGACAGCAAAAGCCAAATCAATGTTAAAAACCTAGTCTGCTAACATATAAAATATGTCTGAGCCACTTCTTTGGCAGAAGATAAAACATGTACTAGATTTTAAGTTAGACCATCTGGTATAAAACTGTGATAACTACATCCAATTTAGTGCAGTAGTTTTTGCATGACGCCAGAACAGACAGACAGACAAATATACAGACAGACATAAATTTCTAAAAATTACCGTTTAGACATCTCCTTGTTCGTTTGTTTGTTTGTGACACTTTATTTTACAGTAAAGTCTTAAAATATCGGATACAAAATCTTAGTTATTTTACCGAGGCCAAAAAAAATAAATTTTAATATTTTTGTCCACCTGTTTGTTTGTCGGTTTGTCTGTACATTTGTGCATGCTAATCTCAGAAATGACTAGACCGATTTGAATGCAGTTTTCATTGATATATTGTAAGTTCTTGTAACATTTAGTTGTTTGTTTCAATGCAATCAGTTCAAAAAATGTAATTGAAATGACACGCGCTATTCTAAAAACGGGCTGCAATTTTAGAACAAACTAGCTTTTCGCCCGCTGCTTTGCATGCAATAGTTTTTGCGTGATATCGAAAGCAAACATACAGACAAGCAGACAAAAAAAATACAAATTTTATTATTTTAGTTTCTAGTGCTCTTATAAGACCCCTTACTATATTTTTAAAAAAAATACAAACATAATATACAACTGAATGGAAAATCTCCGTCTTTTTTTAAATCAATTGAAAAGAAAACTATTTATTACTTAATGTAAAAATTTAAACTTATTTAAAAAAAAACCTCTTTTTGTTTCTTTCTTAAATTTTTTTATACCACTAAGGTGGCAAACAAGCATACGGCCCACCTGATGGTAAACTGTTAACGTAGCCTACGAACGCCTGCAATACCAGGGGTATTACGCGCGCGTTGCCGACCCTGAAGAAACCTCTTTACCCCCTTTTTGAAGAACCCCATGTCGTAGTCTATTGGGAAAACCTTTTACATTTTTTAATCGCTAAATCTAGCATATCAATTTTCAGTCGTTAATCGGTAGCGGCGTATTGGCATATCCGTTTATGTACGGCCTAAGTTTCGGATCTCCAACCGTGCTGATCCACCAGCTGCGGCGGGAGGCCAACTCCACCGCGGCGGTCAGTGATGAGATGGAATCGTGGCTGTGTAAGTACATATTTATATATATATATATATATATATATATATATATATATATATATATATATATATATATATATATATATATATATATATATATATATATATATATATAATAATGTCTGTTGATCTATGAGCACTTGCTATACCATCAAAATACTATACAGACATAACACTATGGTGTAAGAACACCTGTGGTGTAACAATAATATTAGTCATCATCTCTCACCAATTTTAATCTAGACAAGTGACAGACGAATACGCAATCTCATGAATGAGACAGAACGAGATAACAACATCTGATGTTTTTTTTCTGTCACATGCGTACGGTAACGAATTCGTATTACGAGTATTTGGCCACTTGTCTTGGCGGCTAGGGCCTAAGCATATAAAAAATTTTATTGTTTTATTTATAATATAAAACCTGCAATCATGAAGTTCTAAATTCAAATGCTATTTGTTTTATTTACAACATAAAACCTGCAATCAAAAGGTTCAAAGGTCTTACCATGAAATGTTTTCCAAAATTTCGGAGCCAAACGAAACACAAATTTGATGTTAAAAGTACATAATCATGCCGTTTGGAAATATTAAAAATGTTTAAATATTGTACTTTGGACTTTTATGATAGAATTTATAACGAACGAAACGTTAAACTCCATTTATTGGTTCGATTTTGGTATAAACAAAAACACGAAATTGAGTCCGAAAATTCGAAATTTCATTTCATGGTAGACCCGCTGAATTCAAATACTATTTGTTTTATTTGCAACATAAAACCTACAATCATAAGGTTCTAAATTCAAATACTATTTGTTTTATTTACAACATAAAACCTGCAATCATAAGGTTCTAAATTCAAATACTATTTGTTTTATTTACAACATAAAACCTGCAATCATAAGGTTCTAAATTCAAATACTATTTGTTTTATTTACAACATAAAACCTACAATCATAAGGTTCTAAATTCAAATACTATTTGTTTTATTTACAACATAAAACCTGCAATTATAAGGTTCTACATTCAAATTCTATTTTCATGCGTTACGCGATATTATTATCAATTGTAAACTGAATTAATAAATAACAAATAAACGTGTTGATATCTTCATTTGCATGTATACAGTACGTAAAGAATATAATAACGCACATAATTATATTAGACAGTTGTATAAATACAATACACAGCGATCATTTGTAAAAATTAAAAGATTAAAAGACATTTCAAAACAACCTTAGATATCGTTTTATAATTTAAAATTTTCTTTGTAAATGCACTAAAGTACCTAATCTAATGGGATTGTACTAATATCGCCGTTCGTGATGTATAAACAAAATAAAACAGACGTTTTGAAAACTTCCTTTTGAAAATTGTTTAAACAATCTTCTAAAACTACTAAATTGTGTTAAAAAATTAGGTTTACAAAGACGATACAATTTTGATAAAACAAAACTTTTATGACTACAATAATTAAAGATTGTGTCCCACAAAAAAAACTAACAAAACCAGTTATTTTGATCTAAAAACTAAATATCTGAACCGATTTTAATAAAATTTCAACAATTAAACCAATCAGATCTGTAAGTACATCTTTTCAAATAAAATGATTTTTCCAAATCCATTTTGAAACTGATGGAGTTATGAGTTAACAAAACAAAAAATACAAGCTAATTGAAACTGCCTTCTTTTCGAATTTATATTGAAAAGAAAAAAAACCGACAAAGTCTTATATCTTGTTAAATACACAAAAAAACTACATCCGTAGTGAGTAACAGCTTTATAAAGTCAATATTTTGTTTATTTACAGCTTCCTGCATGATCTATAGCAGTATACCAGCCGCAATCATTCTAACCATCCTCGCTGATGCAATTGGACGAAAACGTACATGCCTTGTTCTCTCACTGACTTCTTTATCAGGATACCTTTTGTTCTATCTTACTAACAACTTGAAGGATTTACTAATAAGTCAAAGCATACAGGGAGTACTGGCCGCAGCGCACATAACTACATCGGCGATGGCGTTGACAGAGTACCTATCACCTCAATATCGGGGTGTGTTTTTAAATATCAAAGGAGTCTCTTTGTTCTGGGGAGTTTGGGTATCCAACGCTATGGGAACATTTTTACATTGGAAAACTATTAGCTTGTTAGGGTCAGCTTGCGCATTCTACACTATACTATCAGTACTCATTTGGCCAGAGTCCCCATATTGGTTGTCAGAGAAAGGGCGCTACGATGAATGCGCAAAATCACATCGATGGTTAAAAGGTTCGAGCTTAGACGCCGAGAAGGAATTGCAGAATCTAATCGCTTATAAGGCAAACAATAAAAGTGACGTAAATTCGTGGAAACAATTATTAAGTTCTTTCAAAATGATGTCTCAGAAAGAAGTATACAAACCAATGTTTCTATGTATTTTACTTATGGCACTGCAACAGTTTTCTGGTAAATTTGTTTGGGTTGTCTATTCTGTGGGAACTATTAAGAAAATAACGAACAGTGAATCGACCGCGTACATTGGGATGCTCACACTGGACGGTGTAGAAATAGTTTGCATGTACATCTGTTGTTACTTAACGAAACGTTTCAATAGACGTTCATTATTATTAATTCCAGCTTCAGTAGGTGTCACGTTGCTTTTTTCACTATCATTGTATTTATACCTCATAAAACTAATGATCATATCGGAAAATCACGTAGTCACAATTGTGTTGTTGACAATATTTTCCGTGGCTGTGTGCATTGGACCTATAAATATAGGGACAACACTAATGGGAGAATTGATTCCTATAAAATCTAGAACTGTCTTTATTTGTTTGTTGTCTATTTGTGTTAAAATTGTTATGGCCACCGTAATTAAAGTTTCTCCGTACATAATCCGAACTGTAGGGCATCATGGTACTTTTTTATTCTTTGCAACGTCTAGTTTTGTGATCATGCTTCTAGTGTATAAATATTTACCTGAAACCAAAGACAAAACATTGGTTGAGATAGCTGAGACGTTTAGGGAATTGCCAAAAACTGATACGTTAATGGTACCATTAAACGATAATAATAAAATATTAGAAAAATCTGAAGTTTCATAGTTGATCACAAAATTAATATATATTATAGTTATTAAGTTCATAGTTACAAATTAATACCTGTATATTTTTATTGTATTATTAATCATATTGTATTAAGATTATAGAGATGTCTATTATTTTTAATCTATCCTGAATTTGTGAATAATTCAATGATTATGAATGCATTAAGGTCATCTTGTAATTATGACAATTATTTTTAAAATTACTTGGTGATGTAAAAATTGATCATTTTCGTATAGTAATTCTGAGTGTAAGGCGATGTAATGACAAAGATCGAAAAGATAATATAGCGTTGGTTTGTCCATTTGGACAGGATGGTTGAAAGAAGAATTACGAATTAACTCTTTATCTTGCTTTTAGGTAATTAAGTTTATGCATAATTATATATTCATTCTGTTTGTGTACATATTGTTAATCTTTATAATTTGTATCGCTCTTTGAAGGGCATAATATAGAGTTTTTATTCATTCATTAAATCAAACAGATTTATCGAGCACGAATGAATAGAGATGTCGGTCGGTTTTATTTTTTCTGCTTCCTCTAATGGGAAACAGGACTACAGATGCATTGTATACGGGGAGGAAAGGGATTGTTAGCAATGCGGACTCCCAGTCCCATTGCTAGCATTACACCCTATCAAGTCGAGCTCCTCGTGGTCCCCCTGGAAACCATCGTGCTGAATACGAGGTGTATTCATCAGGGTGAGCTAATTAACCTGCCTTTTCATTCTCACCTATCACCCCTCACTGATGCCTCACCAGCTCATACCGTAACCCCCGAGAGGGGGGGGGGCTACAATTCCATTACCATCCACTAAAATAAAAATTTTCCTCAACTCACATCACTGTACTTCATGACGCAGCAACATATTATGACCAAAATTGATGTCATATATTTTAAATACACTATCAGGACTCAACGTGGTGAAAAAATGTTTGCAGGTTAATAGCACCTATATATCTGCTTCTTTATTGCCGACGTTTCGACTTGGATTGCGCCACGTCATCTGTCGTAACCAAGACGTAATAAAACAATGATAATAATAAATTTTATTCTTGATTAGATTTAGAAGCTTAATTATCACTATTTTAAGAGATTACAGACCTGAGGAGGTAAATGATATTAATTCCAACTTAATACCTCTACGCGTTCCTAATAAAAAAGGTCCTGACAGATAGACGGACAACGAAGTGATCCTACAAGGATTCCGTTTTTCCTTTAGAGGTACAGAACCCTAGAAACAAAAGAACATTATTTAGTGGTTTTAACTCGGTGCACAGATGACCAGTACTTTTGAATGGGACTGTTCAGACACTGGGACAGTGTGCTAAGAATCTCATTCTTCGGATTCCGAATGTGAGCCCAGAAATGTTCTACACAAGATCATATTATAGCGAAGTAATCAATCACCCTGGACTCCGCAAACATGCCCAATGCACTACAGTAATTCGGAAGCCTCATCAAAATGCGGTATTTTTTTACAACACAGGGGGCAAACGAGCATGCGGCTCACCTGTAAGTAAGTGACTACCGCCGCCCATGATCACCCACAACACCAGCGGCATTGCAGGTGTGCTGCCGGCCTTTTAAAAAGGAATATACTCTTTTCTTGAAGGTTATGTTGTCGTATCGGTTCGGAAATACTGCTGCTGGAAGTTGATTCCAAAGAATGGTTGTGCGTGAAGAAAGTGCCTTGAAAAACGCACGGTGGAAGACCGCCACACGTCCAGATGATTGGGATGAAACTTATGCGGTATGCATTATAATGCTGCTCCGCGCATTTTTGGTGCAGTGTGTTCAAAGCTGGCATGTATAGAAACATTAATAAGATGCGAAGCAATATCAGTTTCATTTTTGGACTGCAACGGCCTTCGCGTAAGCATGTTTTCTCCCACGAACACTCAGGATTATATTATCTGTGACTCAGGTTATAAAATGAGCTCCCTGCCGAGGTTTTCCCAAGAGACTACAACATGGAATTCGAAGTTCAAAAGGGGGGTAAAGAGGTTTCTTTAGGATCAGCAACGCGCGCGTAATACCCGTGGTATTGCAGGCGTTCATAGGCTACGGTAACCGCTTACCATCAAGTGGGCCATATGCTTGTTTGACACCTTAGTGATATAAAAAAAGCATGTTGCGACGGACGACCAGGGCCCTTCGTTCCCGTTGCAGATTTCCGTCATCGCGAAGATTCTCTGTCACGATATGTCCTAAATATATGAACTGAGCCACTCTTTCCACTGCAGTGCCGTTTATAAAACGAACCGTCAGCAGTAAAGAAGCAGTTTGTAGGTAAATATTATATTTTTCATAACATTAAGTGTCGATAGTGTATTTAAAACATATGTAAACAACGTGAAAATTTAAAATTAACCAGTGTCACCTTTTTGAATGCTGTATAATTTATCAACTATATTACTTCAATATTATAGGTAAATATACTTTAAATTCTTCAACCATAATCTTTAAATGCCTCGAGTATCGTTTATTATTAAAATTTTAGTACACATTCGTGTTAAAGGTTTTTTTTTTAAATATGTGATAATGGTATGGTAACCCCGCCCGCGCTATCGGTATACACCGGCGGGGCACCAGTGATAGATGACTGATGAGGATGAAAGCAGGTCAGTTAGCCCGTCCTGACGAATTCAACTAGAATTAGCCATAGTGGTTTCCAGGGGAACCACGTGGAGGTCAACCTGTCAGGGTATATTGCTAGTAATGGGGCTATTTGACCCCATTACAAACAATCCCTCCCCCCCTTGTTAAAGATTAGGTGATTGCACTTATCCAAAATAACAGAATCTACGCTTCAAGTAAACATAGGACACAAACGCAAAGAGAGTGTAAAAACGAGTACATATACGTCATATATTTCCCAATAACTTTAGAACTAAATTTATTTACCTAGGTATATTAACTTCGGTTTTTAATAATGTAAACAACTAATAAGGTTCAACAAGTTTATACTAATACAGTCTTTAATGCCCGGCTTATTTTTAAAAGCTTTGCGAAGTAATTATGAACAAGATTAATTATAAATATTTCAATGAGATTCTAATAATATTACAATTTCATTAATATATTTTCATTTGATTCATGTTTCGGAACGAGCCGGGTTGATATCCGGTAAATCACGTGAGAAGGCTTCGTAAACAAGTCCTCTTCACCCTCTGAGAAGGGTGCGGGAGGAAGCCTCGGAGCGAACTACTTTGACCCGGCTTCTTTTCAATCTGTTCATGCAAAATGAATGAATGAATCAATCAATACAGGTCTTCTCTGTACCCGCCATGAAGGCATGTAGCGGATGAGATGGGGGTATCGAGGGGAACCCCATTGCCCCGGCATCTTATCCGGAGGCTATGGCCTCCGGGTCACTGGATTTTAAGCCGACATAAACTATATATATATATATATATATATATATATATATATATATAAATAATAATCTTTATGCAAAATAATGACGACATAGAATTTTTTGACACTAGAGGGCGACACCCTCGCACTTACAGTAGTATTATTGTAGATAAATATTACTTTGTACGTGTCAATTCAAGAATTTAAATTAAGAACTAGTGTCACAATGCCCTTCGCCATTGAAAAAAAAATTTAAGAGTCAACTTACGTGTTTGTTGATTTAGGTGTGTGATATGACTTGTAGATGATCAATGAAGCAAACACGAATACGTATGTTTTTTGTATACGTAAGCATTTCAATTTATATACCAATGTCATCTGTTTAAATAAATTCGATACTGTTTTCATTTTTACAAGTTTACGATCCATTAAATATTTTACAATTCACTAGCTTTATGCCCGCTACTTCGTCCGCGCGGTTTTCAAAAGTAGGAAAGACAATGAAATAGACTGCCACTACAAGTAGACAATATTTCAAGATAAAACATAATCCAGTTTTTAATTTAACCATCAAGAATACAATAGTGAAAACTGCATCGAATTTAGTACAGTAGTTTTTGCATAATGTCGGAACAAACATACAGAGAGAGACAGATAAAATATCTAAAATTTATTGTTTTGTATTTTATTTATAATTACATCAACCTTTAACTGTCCACTGCTAAACATAAGCCTTGTAACGCGGGCCTCTAAACCCGCCACCGCGCAATGGCCGCGAGTAATTCCCCTTTTCGATCGTCCTCCCCGCGCGCATCTCCCTCCCGTGCGTTACCGTTAGCTCAGCGGCGGCCACTAAGGCAGTTACCGACTGGCTCTTGGAGTGTCTCTACGCTTTGGCTTGCGCGCTTACGCCAGGAATTCAAAATGTAACTCCGTTTCGATAGTAAACGTATGTTGTATAATTTATAGGGTTTCTATTCGATGCCTACACACTATAGCCTCCTCTTTGGGGGGCTTTGCCAATAGTTGCCACGCTTATCAGCCGGTAGTTAGTAATCTAGACACGCAGTAGCGTGTCAAGCCAAGTCCAAGCTGGCGAGCAGCACCGTATGTAATATTACACGTACCATTTGGAGCCACTTTTGACCCCCTCATAATATAAAAACTATTTCACATAAACGTGCCAAATTTTGGCTCGTATATTAAGACTTACAAGATATATATATGCTCCAAATTTCATAAACACATTTCTAGCGGTTATTTAGATATTAACGTCCAAAAATCGTCATTTTTATCACTGGCTGACCTTTAAATCAAAACTCTTATCTAGTTCCAGATGACCTAGAAAGTTTAAATTTGACATGCAAATAGGTAATTAAGTTAATACAATGGAATAAATCTGAAACTGGTAATTTTTTATCATACGTACTAACAGTTCCATTATCAGCAATATGCAATGCCTGGTAGCCATCGTGCTGAATTCCAGGTGTGGTCACGATAGACTAACTGGCCTGCCATTTCATTCTCACCTACCATCCCTCTTTGCTGCCAGCGTATACCGATAGCGCAGGCGGGGTTATCATACCATTCTTACCATTAAAAAAATTAAAAAGAAACGTAATAAGGATATATGGATCAAACGGAATAAAAGTAGCCTCATCCGCTTCCATCCTATATATTATATTACCTTAGGGGGGAAGGGATCGTTAGTAATGCGAGCTACCAGTCCCATTGCTAGCAATATACCCAACCAGGTCGACCTCCTCGCGGTTCTCCCTGGAAACTATCATGGTTAATTCCTGATGAATTCATCATGATGGGCTAACTAGCCTGTTTTCATTCTCATCTATCACCCTTCACTGGTGCCCCGCCAGCGTATACCGATAGCGCAGGCCATACCATTTTTAATCATAAAAAAAAATATATTACTAAAAGTACCAAATTTAATGAGACGCTAATACACCATAAAGTTATAAACAAACAAACTTCCATACTTTTAATATTATTAACAAAGGTAAATATAATACGGTTATTGCAGTAGGTAGTGCAAATTTGTAGTTACAACAGACACATCGTGCATTCAATTGAATTTTAATAACCACATAATGGACAGTTGTAATTACGAAGAGATACCAAAGATCATAGGATTTTCAAGTAAACACACTTGGCGACCGATTTTGAGACAGGTAAATATCCCATATTCACTGTAAGTACTTTAAGAGAACACAGAGACAACATGGTCCGTAAATACTCAATGCTTAGTCGCACTATGTCGGCTCACTAAATGTTTTTTCACGTAAAAATTGGCTAGCTTGAGCACGGATGATCTACCGTGTATGCATAGGCAATCGATGGCCCGATCTCGTGGTGCGATGTACAAAAGGGGAATAAGGGAATGAAGTTCCTCTGAGCACTCTCAATAGAATAACCGGTAGAAGACACGAAGAGAGGGAGGCTATATCTCTACGAAGTACCACTACCTTTGGGGAGTAGGTAGAGTGAAGAGAATACTAAAATGTTCTCATTCATCCACTTCCGATCTTTTTTCGTCTCATACACCAAGCACCTGAGATTCATGACTTCTCTCTGTCAGATGAAACATGATCTATGTAATCACAGATTAGATTAAATCCAGGTTAGATTTATACTAGAGAAAAACATTGTACAAAAGTCATTTGCTTGTGTGCCTCTGTCCTCTGTATTTCTACCGTGAAGCAGTTGTTTGCATTAGCGATGCGCGACTCCGAATAATTTTGATATTCGAATAATTAGTAATTACTAATTTTATAATTCAACTACTAAATTAGTAATATACTAATTTTAGTATTCCAATGATTTTACTAATCAGTAACTAATAACAACAAAGTCCTTACCCTGTATCTGCTACTACCAAATCCATTCCAACCTGCATCCACTACTACAAGATAACTATGTCAGTTAAAACGACGAAAAAAAACGGCAACAAATACAACAATTTCATAGCATTCATAATAATTATTTACTTTCCTGCTTACTTTACTAATAACTTTACTAATATCGCAATTTCCACTTTTACTAAAACTTTACTTACTTTTATCGAAAATTGGTAATTTTTACTAAACTCAAATTGGCAACACTATTGTCATAAAACGATCGGGTCGCCTCGGCTATGTTCGTATCGACTCGTACATCAACGGCTACTAATGAATGAAATTAGTAGTCGAATGATTTGAAAACCATTCAAATAATCCGTATGATTTACTCAGTCAAATAATTAGTAATCGAATTAGTAAAGTCGCGCATTGCTAGGTTGCACCGCTGTGTTTCAGTTTGAAGGGTGGGATATGGCAGTGAACAGTGTACCCACAGAGACATAACACCTTTTTCCTCAGGAATGGCAACGCATGGAGGGTATCATGGGCGAAACAGTATACTCTGTTATGTACATGGTACTGTTCATGATTATGGGCGACGGTTACCACTTTCCACCAGGTGGACCGTCAGCTTGTTTGCCATTCTAAGTTGCATAAAAAAATCTCTCCCTTCTAAGTCTTGCCTTCATTTGACTACTTTCATATTGTATAATTATTTTGTTGATTTTCTCTTTTTCGTGAGAATTCTTTGTGCAGTCTTATTTATAAATTATTTGATTGAAGATTTATTTCTTAACCAATAATAATATAAACTCTGATTAGTTTAGAATAAGATATTAGAGCTGTGTATTTTATATCCAATTATGCATCCAGTTTTTATGTCTGTTACTTCATAACTCCATCTCTTAGAAACCGATTTGTAAAACTCATTTTATATCTGTAAAGATACACTTATAGATTGGTCCCAGAAAAATGTTATTTATATGCATACGCATGAAGGAATGGTAAGAAAGGAGAATGTTAGATTATATATTTTGTTTTTGTATTTTTTTTTATTTGTGCTTTTTTTATTTTTATTCTTTTGTCTCTTTTGCTGTGTATTACGTATATGTTTTTTTTTTATTGTAATTTGTGTGCTGTAAGTAATGTAAATAAATTATCTATCTATCTATCTATATATATGCAAAATTGGCTAAGTAGATCAATTTTTAACTCAAAATAACTATTTTTACCACAATTAAATTTTTTTAACTTTACATTATCAACAAATTCATGTAATAATTTTGTTTTTTTTTTAAATTATGCACCTAAATATTCTTGTTTCACTATATTATTTTTAATTTTGTTAATATACGTTTTATAGGTTACTCAAATAAAATGTTTATCTCTCTATCTAAATATATATTTCAATCACTTATATTGGCATTTTCAGATACTCATTGCTAGCGGGGCATTGGCATATCCGTTTATGTACGGCCTAAGTTTCGGATCTCCAACCGTGCTGATCCCCCAGCTGCGGCGGGAGGCCAACTCCACCGCGGCGGTCAGTGATGAGATGGAATCGTGGCTGTGTAAGTACATATTTAAATGTGACTTACGTAAAAATTTTAGTTCAGTAGATTGAAGCCACATATAAATCCATCGTATAACAAAAATAATCGATTGTAATCTGTAAATTGATTCTAAATATCAAAGATTTTTTTATGCAACTTAGAATGACAAACAAGCTGACGGCCCACCTGATGGAAAGTGGTAACGTCGCCTATAAACATGAGCAGTACTATGGACATAACAGAATATACTATTTCACCCATGTACCCCCATGCGTTGCTACTCCTGAGGACTCAAGTATTATTCTTCTGTATCCTGTAAATTCACTGCCATATCTCACCCTTTAAACCGAAACACAGCCATGCAAACACAACTGCTTCACGATAGAAACATTAATGGGACAGAGGTGCACAAGCAAACGACTTTTGTACAAAGTCTCCCTCTGGTGACTATTTTTAAACCTTTCATTTTTTATATACGATATTGGATATCGACTTCGTTGTCACAGCGAGATGATACGCTACGTACTCATAAACACTGTACTCAACCTGATGAAGACTTCGGGATGATATCGAAACTTAGAATCTAGAATCATCTTTTATTACTATTATTTATTATAATATTATTACATACTGTAATAATATAGTCTCATAATGATTTTGTCAAAATCTAAGTCAGTTTTATTGGTAAATACGTCATAGATAGATAGATAGATAGATAAACTTTTTATTTGAACCATTTACGACACACGTAAATTTACAAATGAGTTTATACAATCAAATTATTTACACTTTTCAAAATATACAACAAAGGATAAAATATGAAAATATGGTTTCGCCATGTGTGTCGCAGTGACCCAAATAGGCTACAGCTCAGTGATGGTTTTGCTTAAAAGCAAAGCACTGATTTTCAGCTGCAGCCTGAAGTTAGGCTACACGGACGCGTACAACAAACCCATGATCATACTACGATTAAATAATACTACATCAATTTTGACTAAAGGTCATGGTACTAAAGTAGGGCCAAACCTGTATATGTATAAAAGAAACGTAATCTAGAAATCAATTCCGCATGACTTAGAAAAATAAATACATTCGAATTAAGAACTCCTTTTTAAATTCTTGTTTTTTTTTAATTCCAGCTTCCTCCATGAGCTATGGCAGTATACCAGCCGCAATCATTTTGACAATCCTCGCCGACGTGATTGGACGAAAGCGCACGTGCCTCATTGTATCGTTGACTTCGCTATCGGGATTTCTTTTATACTATTTTACAAGTAGTTTAACAGGTTTACTGATAAGTCAAAGCGTTCAAGGTGTATTAGCAGCAGCGCAGATAACAACATCGGCTATGGTGATGACAGAATACATATCACCTCAATATCGAGGTGTCTTTTTGAATATAAAAGGAGCTTCTTTGTTCTGGGGTATTTGGGTTTCGAATGCTATGGGAACGTTTTTACATTGGAAAACAATCGGTTTATTGGGATTGATTTGCGCAGTCTACAGCATGGTGACTGTGCTTATTTGGCCAGAGTCCCCATACTGGTTGTCAGCGAAAGGGCGGTATGATGAATGCACAAAATCTCATCGATGGTTGAAAGGTTCGAGCTTAGACGCCGAGAAGGAATTGAAGAATCTAATCGCTTATAAAGTAAATGATACAAGTGATGCCAAGTCAGACTTATCTTTGTGGAAACAAATGACAAATACCCTCAAAACGATGTCTCAAAGAGAAATATACAAACCAATATTAGTGTGTCTCTCAATTATGGCAATACAACAGTTTTCTGGAAAGTATGTATGGACTGTTTATTCGATTGAAATTATTAAGAAAATAACCAACAGTGAGTCCACTGCATACATTGGGATGCTCACATTAGACGGTGTCACAATAGGCTGTATGTACACTGGATGTTTCCTAACAAAACGTTTCAATAGACGTGTGTTGTTACTAGCTCCAGCATCGGTGGGTGTTGCTTTACTTTTTTTATTATCATTGTATTTATACCTCATAAAACTAATGGTTATATCAGAAAATAACATAGTAACTGTATTATTGCTTACAATATTTTCCATTGCTATATGTATTGGACCTATAAATATAGGAACAGTACTGATGGGTGAATTGATTCCTTTAAAATGTAGAACTGCCTGCATTTGTTTGTTATCTACGACTATCAAAATGGTTATGGCCACAGTGATAAAAGTTTCTCCATACTTATTCCGAACATCAGGATACCATGGTGCATTCTTATTCTATGCTATATCTACCCTTGTAATCGTACTTCTTGTATATAAATATTTACCTGAAACTAAAGATAAAACATTGGTTGAGATAGCTGAAACATTTAGGAAATTGCCAAAAACAGATACGTTAATGGTACCATTAAACGATAATAATAAATTATAAAAAAACAAGAAGTTTCAGATTATCATTAAATGAATATAATAATTAGAAAGAGAGAAATGTTTATTAATTAAGATTAATATTATATTATAAAATTGTATTATTAACTGAACAAAGATCATGAGGTTAATCCTCATGATTTTTGTGAAAAAGAAGTGACTCGAAATGGTATCATTTATTTGTAATCATATATCGAGCATGGTCTTTCACGTGCAAAATTATGCCACAAAAATTCATATGTACATTATTTTCCTAGTTAAAGGTATACAATAGGCAATATTATGATACGGTTATTAAAAATGTTTGCCTACTGGTAGAGAAATCTCGCTTTTAACAGTAGACAAGTTTTTGAATGTATTAATTTTTTTATTGTAAAATATTACTATTAAAATCTTCTGTGTATATTTTATAGATTTTTTTACTTTATTAGCAATACATTCTTGCTCACCTATCTTCACTTCAGCATTGACCATTCATTTATTACCTTGATGACCAATCTTGCTATCTATTCTCTGTAGACTTAAAGAATGCCACGAAATTCATTTCGCGTGGCAGTTTCTAGACTGTAAAGATTTTACTTATTATTTTGCACTTGATTTCAGATAAGATCATTAATAAAAAATATGTATTAATTGTACCCTGCTGATGGGCTCTACAGTGGTTGGAAAAGCCCAGTTTGCAAAGGTGCACACTTTGCAAACTGGGCTTCACATAATTGTAGTAGTAAGCAAACAACCCTGTCTTTAGTTTGTCACTTGTCTGTTTGTTGCTTGGCTTCGTACTCAAAAACACTCTTCTCAACCAAATCCCGTCATTCATGCATTCTTTCTGCTAGTTTCTCCCATTATTTACAATTAATCCATCATCTTGTTTACCATTCTAAGTTGCATAAAAAAATCAATATTGTAATTTTTTATATGTCAGCCTAACTGTGGTTGCTAACACGGTTGCCAAACGTAGCAACTACTGGCAATTAGAGGAAGACTTATGTTCACCAGTGAACAGTGAATTGCTGGCATGATGATAACGATATAATAGTTATATTACCTTCCTAAAAACGCCGTGTTTTTTTTTTATAACGCAGGGGGCAAACGAGCATGCGGCTCACCTGATGGTAAGTGACTACCGCCGCCCATGACCACCCACAACACCAGTGGCATTGCAGGTGTGCTGCCGGCCTTTTAAAAAGGAATATACTCTATACCAATCTACAGTCTTTCATCTACTGTCGCAAATAAGTAAACAATAAATTCCTATTTTAGTAATATAAAACATGTTGTTTACTGAATCTTGTACTATTTTAATATAGTAAAACTGCACGAAAATATGTATCTAATTGAAGGCATTGGTGTCTAAGATACAGGCTAGGCCTAGTTTAGACACTAATGTGCTGGGCATAATGCTACATTTTATACACTTTGAAATTTTTGTAAGCCCATGACTGTATATTTTTATGTGCAATAAATCTTTTATTATTATTATTATTATAAATAAATGAAACACAAACATGTAAAATTATATCCAAAACTATTACCGTATTTAAAGCAGATTCATATACAAAATTTTACTATTGAATTACAATATTACCTAATTAAAATTTAAAAGTATCCACACATAGACTTTAAGACTGTATGTGAAAATTTGAAATTTTTTCAACCAATAAACAGCAGGTCGTCGCACTCTGAACAAAAGCTGCGTCACAAGGCCATCGGGTAATAATTCAATGGTCACACATTTATAATCCAATCCTGAGGATTGTAAACATGCAATTACACCCTTCGGGTCAGGAAAAGGCATTACACATCGACTAGTTTAATAGCAATTAGACATAAATTAAATCAAAAGCAACAATTAATTAGAACAGTGCAATAAAACTCGTTTGGATTAATAGTAATTGCGGAAGAGTGGCTTAAAGCGACATATGGAGACAGTGGCGGATTTGCAGTCTTTGCCTACCCCAGGCCATGTAGTAAGTACCAGCTACCTTACTCAGCGCCCATCATATTGAGTACATAATGAATTTACTTGTTTGCTAACTTTTATCGAAATCGATTGAGAAATTTAGTTAACCTGCTTGAAAGTTTGCAATATTTTCCGAGGTTTCTTTTAATTTGAATTATTTCTTGTTGTCATCGGTGAATTTTTTTGTCACGATTGGCCACTCTAGGCCCGGGCCACCTAGGGCTTAAGGCAAATCCGCCACTGTATGGAGAGATTAGATAATATACATTTATTTGCAGCATCCAAGTTACATAAAATTTAACAAAGTACTAATAGTTCAAATGTAAATTAAAAGTAACATGCACATATTAGGAAAATTGTTCAAAAAAATGTAAAAAATTAATTTGTAGTTATGTTTTAAAATATTCACTTGTACTTCACATATCCCTGTTTCCGTAGTAGTTGTCTCAACTTCCGTAGTATTTATTGTCGTCAATGATATTGTATCTAAAAATATTATTAAAAATAATTCATTATCATGTTGGAAATTTTTATATATACAATGTATTTTTTTTACAATACAGGGGCAAACGAGCATGTGGCTCACCTACAGCACTACCGGCCTTTTAAAAGGGAATATGCTCTTTTCTTGAAGGTTATGCTGTCTTATCGGTTCGGAAATACTGCCGCTGGAAATTGATTCCAAAGAGTGATTGTGCGTGGAAGAAAGTGCCTTGAAAAACTCACGGTGGAAGACCGCCACTCGTCCAGATGGTTGGGATCAAATTAAATATATGTCTCTGAATTATACTTATGAAATTGCAAGAAATTTAATGCTATTTTCCTATTATTTATGGATGAATTCATTACAGCTACGCCTACTACTCATGTGAAGGTAATGCCCACTGTCAAGAGGTTTTAAGCTAACTTCGTTATACTCGGATGGTGGCCTGTTCTATACGAAGACCACATGACCATTGAACCCATACTCTAGAGAAATATCCCTAAATTCTTTACAACTCTGTGATCTTTTCTCCTAATCTACAAAATCACTTCGCAAATATTGCGAAGGGGGAAAGCTTGATCCATACATCTTCTTCAGTTTCTGAAACCGTTCTGTTCTTTACTAAACATATATAAGTTATATATTTCCAATATAACAATTTTCTTTCGACTTGAATTTATTATCATTCCATCATGGAATTACAAGAAAGTCCCTACAAAGCTTTAAGGTCTAATCTGATTATGCGCCCAAATGGAAATTGCAAAAGCCTGAGAGTATCCTTTGTTCTAAAACAAATGAAACTAGCTTAACGATTTGAAAAATATTCTAATACCCTCGAATTTGATTAGGCATTTTGCATTTTTTATGTACGTATTACAATTTTTGTTTAATGGGTGATAATGGAATGGTAATCCCGCCCGCGCTATCGGTATACACCGGCGGGGCATCAGTGGAGAATGATAGATGAGGATGAAGCAGGACAGTTAGCCCATTGTGACGAATTCAACAAGAATTGTTCACGATGGTTTCCAGGGGGAACCACGTGGAGGTCGACCTGATAGAGTGTATTGCTAGCAATGGGTTCATTAGACCCCATTACTAACAATCCCGTTCCCCCCGTATTACATATATTAGAGAAGTAACTAAACTGATCAACGCATAGCATAAATTGTTAGAATGTGTAGTCATGCATAAAATAATAACTTTTCTATGGAGGACTTGAAGTTTAGAAATTTAGAATTTGAAGTATAATAGTCAATAAATTAAGAGAAACTAGTGATAATAAATGAGTAAGAAACTAGTAGTTTGTATCTAATAACAATTTCAGTTGCACCATTTGAAATCCATACTTATAAGCATAAACCTAGGTATTAGCTACTTAACTATTTTATATATTTCTAATTTGAAAGAAAGTCACAAAATGGTAAGTCGTAGCAAAACCACTTGTTTTGATATTTATGTTACCAGAGGAAGACTTTGTACAAAAGTCGATTGCTTGGATACCTCTGTCCCGTTCGTGTTTCTACCGTGAAGTAGCTGTGTTTCGGTTTGAAGGGTGGGTTATAGCGTGAATTTACCGGGTACAGAGGAATAACACCTGAGTCCTCAGAAATGGTAACGCATGGGGGGTATCATGAGCGAAACGGTATACTCTGTTATGTCCATGGTACTACTCATGTCTATAGGTGACGGTTACCACTTCCCATCAGGTGGACCATCAGCTTGTTTGCCATTCTAAGTTGTATAAAAAAAATTAAACTGCTGAATCGATTTTGTTAGAATTACTATAGGAGCAATCTCTAAATTGCGAGGTAACAAACATAGAAAAATACATCCAAATTGAAAGCATTCTCCCATTTGAAGTTAGTTGAAAACACATACATATCACGCGAACAAAGTCAAGATTCCCTAGTTTGCAATTTTAAAAATGTCTTGTGGTACTGGCTTAGTATTAATCTCTCGATTATATACCATAAGTAAATTTTTTTTTATTAAAATAGTTGAAGTATTTACTCTGTGCTGAGGATTACAAATAATTGTGGCGAAATAATGTCTAATGCATTCTGTAAGTAACTCGAAAGATTTAATTTATCAAAATTCTTCAAAAAATATCGTTCATTATTAGTTTTTAATTTCGGGCAACTTTCAAAGTAAGAAGATTTTCAATTAATGCGAATTAATTTTGTGACGATTGAAGCGTCTGTTTTGTTTGTAGAGTAAAAATCTATTAGTTACAAAGCAGTGACGCGTACACATACAAGTGTCCACGTGTGCGTGCGTGCGTGCGTGCGTGCGTGCGTGCGTACGCGCTGTACTGTAGTGTGTGTACACCCTCTGTGTGTGTGTGTGTGCGTGTGTGTTACAAAACAAAAGATTTTTTTTAATATAACGCTGTGTAATCTTGTTTCCTACTAAATGATAAGTACATGGCCCTGTATCTACCATCAGCAGCCAAGGACTTTATTAATATACCTAAATACATAGTTCTATCTCGATACACTGAGTCAACTAACTAGCTATGAAATATTTATTTGGCAATCGATTGCTTTTATTATAAATTTTATGTAGCTATGCCGTAAGGGATTGATGGCATAATACCCATTAAATCGATGATAAACTTTACATTTCGGTTACCGTATTGTTATGTCCTTGTTAAGAAATTGGAGTGTGCTCATAGATATTGATTGTGATAGATGACGCAACGGTACTTAAGTACCTACTGTATTTTTTTTATGCTACTTAGAATGGCAAACAAGCTAACGGCCCGCCTGATAGACATGAGCAGTACTATAGACATAATAGAGTATGCTGTTACGCCCATGATACCCCCCATGCGTTGCCATTCCTGAGGACTCAGATGTTATTCCTCTGTACCCTGTAAATTCACGTCATATCCCACCCTTCAAACCGAAACACAGCCATGCAAACACAACTGCTACACGGTAGAAACACGAATGGGACAG